GGGGGCGCGCCGGGCGTGGTGGTCGGGGGCTGCGGCAGCCAGGGTCCCGCCCCCTGTGCCTACGGCCTCCTCGGTCCCTCAGCGAGGGCGACCCCGCTGGGGCCGCGCTCCCCTTCCGACAGGGCTGCCCCTCATCTCCACTTCCCCGTCGTCTCCCAAGTCGGGGTGCTCAGACTCGGGCAACCCCCAAAGGCCTCGGCTTCGGCCATCAAGTTAGCAAAATGAAAGCAAAAACCCGCCACTCGGCCACACCTCCGCTCCTGAGGGACTGGCCGTCAGCTGAACCAGCTCCGAGAGGATGGCGGTTCTCGCGAGATTTTTCTACGCTATTGGCGGGGCGGAGCATCAGGAAGGCGGGGTTTCTGTCATCCGAGCTTGTGGGCTGACGTCACCCACCTCACGTGAGCACGCCTCGCCTGACCCCCTTTGCAAAGGGGAAAAAGGAAAGGAGAGGTCATGTGCTTCGCTCGCGTGCTCGAAGCTCTGCCAGGTGGCACACGTGAGTGTCCTGTGTAATGCTGTGCAGAGCCACCTAGCAGTTCAGGAACGGTCCTACTCATTAGCATACATCGTTTACAGTAAAAAAACGAGAAAAATAATCGTGCGTTACGTTTAAACAGTAGGTAAATTGCTCAGGGCTTCCCTTCGGTCCTAGGCCTTAAATAAACTATAAAATTGTAAATTTAGAGACAGACCAAAACCAAAACGGTTATGAAAGGTCTTTGTCAAATTACTGCCTTTTGCTTTATAGCACTGGACCAAAAACCCTTGGAGTTGCACTGCTCATTTGTTCATCAGCCTTGCAATTCCATTGCTCATTTGTTCATCGTTAGCATTACATCATGGGCTCCAAATTTCACAGCTGGAAGATAAAAGATAACTTGGAGATAAGGAGAATCTAAGATTTAAAGGAGTTGTTGCTTGTTCCCAGAGCCTGCTATTAAAAAGTAAATCAACTTTATCCACCTCACACTTATCCTAATTCCCTTATATTCTGATCTGCAGAATGCTGGACTGCCAATAACAGCTTTTACCAAAGTTCTTAAAATGTTAACAATTTTTAACGCTTATTATAACAAAATTGAACTTTGTACACATTTTTATTCTCAGCCATAAAAAGCAAATAAATATAACATGTAAAACGTAGTGATACCAAAAAGGTTGTTAACAAAAGCTACATAAAAAGAAACACGGTGTCTAAATAGTAATAACTGGGCTATAAAATTGAAAAATAAAAAACAACCCAATTTGGTCTAGGCTAAGAATTTTTAATATATATCTTAAATATTTAGCAATATGGTTCCAAATTATACTGCACTAATTTAATACTCTTCTCTGAATCTAAAAATGAAACAAAAAGTAAAATTAAAACAATAAATAAAGATAATATAAAATTTTATAACTGGGAAGAAAATTGTTTTTCAAATATTCAAGTAATGAGGCCTACATAATTACAATATTTATCTCATTTACTTAAATTACTGCTGATAGTAAATGGTTATGATAATTGTGTGATACAATAAAGGAAACTGACTTTTAATACTGATGTATTATTAGACAATAAATGTGTAGTTTTTTTGTCTTTTTTCATGCCGGAGTCAAACCGGCAACCTTGCTGTTAAGAGCCCAGGCTCTATCCCCTGAGCCATCCAAGCGGCAACTCAGCTCAATGTGCCAAGTTCTAAATGTGTAGTTTTTAAAGCAAACACCGCTTAGTCTATATTTGCACTGTTCCTTGATGTATATCTTGGGCTAATGAAAAGATTTCTCTTATTTCAACAAATATTGACAGTTAATTCTGAAGTTCGGACCTCCTGAAGGCGATAGTCCTTCCAAAGTCACACAGAAATCCCCCTTAGATTATTAGTCCTGCTCTGCCCTGGTCCCTCATTCTAGTCTCCGTACAATAGCCAGAGTGAACCCCTGGAAACCTCAGTACGAACAGCTCATGCCTTTGCTCACAACTTCCTGAAGGCTTCCCATCTCAATGAGACTAAAAGCCAAATCCTAAAAATGGCTCACAAGGTCCTCCAGGGTCATCACATAGATGCTGGGGGCAAGCATTTGCTCCCTGCTCTGCATCAGGCACCACCACCAACTGGACCCAGAATACACCCTAAAATATATTTGCTCACTCAATATTCTATGCCAGTCCTGTGCAATTCCTCTGCCCTCGCTGCATGGCAGGTCCAGCTAATTCATTACTATTTAGTATAAGGTATCACTCAGCTACTACTTACTTATTTCCCAGGTCACCAAGGCCTTTGATATTCCTTAACTCTGCTTATTTGCTTCCCAGAAGGTGGTTATGGGCTTACTCCTTCATTCCTTCAAAAAGCACAGAGAAAAGAGGTTTTGGAAGTCCACTTGCCCCACGCGATAGTAGCACAGGTCTAAACCTGCCCACCCACTGCGCCCAGGCCTTCTGCGGGGGCAGGGCGGGACTGAGCACGTGGGCAGAACACGCGGACACGCGATGTTCCCGCAGAGGATGTGAGTGGAAGTGACGCAAGCCCCCGTGCCACTCTGTTTCTTCGCAGTTCCTGAGTGGCCCGGTGGCCGGTCCTAGGGCACCATTGACAGAGGCACAGCCCCTGCAGCCTGGTCCCTGAAAGACTTGTAGAGCGAGGGGCAGCTACCAGGTGCCCTGCTCCGGAACAGAGAGACAAACGTCTTATTCTTCAA